TTCTTAAATCACTCAAACTCATTGATTTGTCAAAATTTGGGTTATTGGCGAGTAATCCGAGGCAGTGTTGTGCTCTGAGCAATCTTCTGCTTTGAAACCATGGATCCTGGCATTCATATGGATGTTATTATGACACTTACCACCTACCAAGTGATTGTTAAAGACCATATGCACCCCTGTAAGTCTGATATGTTTTCCCAAAACAATCGCATAGAAATTCGCCCAAACTGAAATGCCACACGGACGAAACCCAACCGATGGAAAACAATGTTTTAAAATCAGATTTTTGTCACTGTGTTCAAGTCTATTATTCACCATCTTGCATGGTTTTGACTGCCACCATGTTTTGTGGGGTCCATAATTTCAGGGCTCTGCTGGGGTGGAAATATTCTGGTTTGTCTAAGGTCAGTGAGAGTTTCACTTCTGGATAATAGTTGTTTTAAGCAGATGCCGCCATTTTGAATAAGCCCTCTCTTGAACTTAATTAATGGCTTCCATTTCCACAGTAGCTGCCACTCCCATAAAACTCTGTCAGACTGAATACATGTTCTGATGCTTTTTCTGAGGTTAAATAAGCCCTAGAACCATTCTAATTCAAGTTCTACTCCTAACACTTACATAAATCCCATATCTCCCAACTTTGGGTAGAATGTTGTCAGGAAGGGGTAGATGGGTCTTTACAGGGCATGCCAGTGACTCAGCCTGCCTAAAGACAGTTGGGAGGCCTGACAATTCTAAAACTAAACTTAAAACTACCCCTAACGCACTAACTCTAAAACTAAGCTTAGCCTCAAACAAATTTTATAAATCATATATTATAAAGGATTTTTAATAATGAAATGTGTATCAGTGAAAAATACTGTAATATTTGAGTTCTAAATCTTCTATTGAGTTTTATTAAGATGTCTCCTGAACTTCCCAGTTGGCATGATTTCCCTAAAGCAAATGATTCACCATAATGTAGCACGTCTTTGTCTGTAACACTGTCCTGCTTCTTCTTTCTCTCTGTCTCTCTATACAAGCCCAAAAACAATTCTAATAACACATGCATCAATATGAGTTTTTCGAATTGTCTTGTTATATTCACAATCCAGGGCTAATAGAAAAGCCATAAACAGGCTCAGTTTCATTTTTTTTTTTTTTTTAATATGGATCTTTAGTACAGACAAAGAGATTTTAAACTGGCTCATTCATGACTTTAACTTGCCATCGGCAGCCTTCTAGGAGCTCTTTTAAAAATGCATTAGCTTAGCATCAGCAATCTTCACTTTCCTGTTCTAACTTTTACTTGGAATAGAGCAGGTTAAATGAGCAGATTCTTTAGCCTGGACTAAAATAGAAAGTATAGTCATACTGTAAACCTTTTGGCTTTTATTAATCCTTTTGTGAAGTGTGTGTTCACTGGGTGAGCACAGTTGTCTACACAATGAATTTTTTTTTTTCAAGGTTCAGAAGAAAAAAAAAATGAAGTTAAGTCTAGGGAGGTCAATCATATTTAAACAAAGCTAAACTAGACAAATGCTATTTTAACATTATATGTATATTATAGCAGTGGCCGCTAATGAAGTCTAAAGATGGAGGGGTGCTGGTCTCTGGAATTTGACTAGGCCATCTGATTTGTTTGGCTCTGCCCATTTAGTCCCTGCACTTAACCTCTTACCCAATGATAGGTCATGCCTTGTTTAACATCATTAACCTATAGATATCCATATTTGGGAAATAACCCAAAGAGGTCCGACTCCATCCCCAATGACAGGCCTAGAAAACAGAAAAGTATAAAGGCTTGTCTTTTAGAGTGTCCAGTATCTGACAGCCCAATGCAAATGGGTGACCGCAGAAATCCTGTTAGAGAAGTATGTCTGGGGTGCCTACATAATAGGGCTTTCTCATTTTTTAAAAATACCCCAAGATTTAGCCTAGATTTCATTTTTTGTTATAATGATTTAAATACAGGATTTAGGTCATTGGCTGAGAATGTCACTTAATTTATCTTAGCCAATGACCTAAGCCTTCCCCACCTCAAGAGAGATAAGGGACTCCCAGATCTTCCAGACTGAAGTGGAGGCAGTGAGCGGCACCCAGCAGACCCCAGTAAGACGTCAAACCATTCAGATATGATTTTACTCCTTAAAGGTACACTGTAGGCATCTAGACCACTTCAGCTCATTGAAGTGGTCTGGGTGTAGTGTCCCTATTGCCTTTTTAGTGCTGCAATGTTAAACAATGTTAAACTTCCTGGTTTAAAACAAACCTTTGGTCTGGAATCTGACGCTGGATGTCCTCACGGTCTGCATGAGGATCTCCAGCGTCAGATTTTTCTATATAGGAAAGCATTGAGTCCATGCTTTCCTATGGTGTGGTCTTATGTGGCACGCATGCGTATTAGAGACCGCTCGTAGTGGAATGTCGGAGGGGGTGGAGCATCGGCTCAGACCCGAAGGGACATTGGTGCTGGGATTAGGTAAGTATATAAAGGGTTTTTGTAATGGACCGTTTTGCCCACAAGAGGTTAAAAACCATTTAGTAGATCTTCCCCTTCCAGATGCTCAGGCACAGATACTGCAGAACACCAATCCGCCGAACAGGAAACCATATGAATGCTGTAAACAGCCGAATAGGAAAAACCATACGAATAGGTTTACACTCCTAGCAGTCAAACTGGAACAGCATACAATAAATCCCCCCAAGAACGCTCTGTGTTGAGGGTCAAGCAGTGAACAGTCAGAGCTGTGTTTATTGTGCTTATGTACACATTCTTACACATTAGTACCACCCACAGGGTTTTGGAACACAACCAATAAACACATACAATACACTCAGACATTCCCACACAAATTCCTCCCCTCTGCATGTGATTCAATTACCTTACACAATGGGTAATGTCATTTAGCACAAGCAGAGAAATAAATTTTTTCCACATTATTCATAACTTGAAAAGTATGCATCACATTCACATAAAACTTACATTTTCAGAATCAGCATACTCCAAATACAAACATATGTCAAAATCATACAAATTGGTCCAGTGGTTCAAAAGATAGATCGTAGTCCTTTGTGACCACAGGAAGCATGGCTTTTCTGCCCAAGACCAGTTCCACAGAGTCTTCTATCCTGGAGATAATTAGAAGTAATCCAATTATCTCCAAAGACAGAGGCAAAACTCCATTGAACACATGGCATCAAAAAGACAGTAAAATACAATAAAATACACAAGGTTACATTTATGACATAAAATACAGACATGCAACATATGCCCAGATAGCTTAGGTCTAAGCGCACATTATTACTGAATGGCGCTCAGAGCACACACATACAGTTCAATTGCCATGGAGCCAAAGTCTTTCCCATAGTCTTTCATTATACGAATGGGCTCCATGGCATAGCTATCTGGGGTATCACTGCTCAAACAGGGCAAGCACCAAATGACCCGGCTTTCTTGTCTTTGCACGGGAAAATCAAGCCTTTTAACATGGGGCCATAATCCCAAGGCAACAGGCGAGCAACCCAGCTTCTCCAATGCAATGTGGCGAGATTGGTCTCGTCACAGTTTTTAATCCTTTATTTACCGGGGGGGAAGGTGGGCATGGGTGCGAAGTAGGGGGAGGTAGGCAGAGTGATAGTGCCAGGAATACAGCTTTGTATTACTGGCACTATAGTATCCCTTTAAAATAGGGATAATCTACAACAAGCTGTGATGTCTGTGATTCTTGGATTCTTTCTTTAATTAATGAACATTTTCAAGACCATAAAGGGTCTATATGGTTATTTAACATTATGCACACGCACACACACATATAATAAAATCACAAGACTTTCTTCCGATACTGTACATATTACACCTGAAAGTGTATGCCTAAATGTGGAACACTTGGAATTAAAGGAACACTATAGTCACCTAAACAACTTTAGCTTAATGAAGCAGTTTTAGTGTATAGATCATGCCTCTCAGGTTTTACAGCGTAATTCACTGCCATTTAGGAGTTAAATCACTTTGTTTCTGTTTATGCAGCCCTTGCCAAACCTCCCCTGGCTCTGACTGACAGAGCCTGCATGAAAAACAAAAACTTGTTTCACTTTCAATCAGATGTAATTTACCTTAAACAATTTTATCTCCTGCTCTGTAAATTGAACTTTAATAACATACAGGAGGCTCTTGGAGAGTCTAGCAAGCTATTAACATAGCAGGGGATATGAAAATCTAAATTAAACAGAACTTGCCATAAAGAAAGGATACAATTTAGATGACTCTTTACAGGAAGTGTTTAGGAAGGCTGTGCAAGTCCCATGCAGGGAGGTGTGACTAGGGTTCATAAACAAAGGGATTTAATTCCTAAATGGCAGTGAATTGAGCAATGAGGCTGCAGGGGCATGTTCTATACACCAAAACGGCTTCATTAAGCTAAAGTTGTTTTGGTGACTATAGTGTCACTTTAAGGTAAATCTTCCTTAGTCTGCTACAGAACTAATATGGCATTTCAAAGTTAAAATAATCTATGCTTTTCAAAAGTATGGGGGTATCTTTCAAAAAACATGTGAAGCTCTTACAGTGTAGGCAAAAGGGAGCCTTTCTGAAGCTTTCCAGATGCTGCTCAACTACAACTTCCTTAATGCTGGGTAAAAACTGGCATTTAAAGACTTGGACTGGATTCCAAGGTTTAATCGTCATGTGTCTCTTTTGGGGAAATTGGAGCATCTGATCCAAATGCCACACATACCATTAGAACATTCAGAACAATAAAAAGATGGAAAATTGTCACAGTTTTAAAGCTCTGGTGTATAATTGTTTATTAGTATAGTGTATTAACTGCATATAGCATTAGACAAGGGCATTTCAAATGTTTCTATGTTTCTGTATGTTTTAAAGAAAATATTGTAGAGGCATCAAGGCTTCTTAAACAAATATATATACACTGCTCAAAAAAACAAAGGGAACTCTTAAACAACACAATGTAACTCCAAGTCAATCACACTTCTGTGAAATCAAACTGTCCACTTAGGAAGCAACACTGAGTGACAATCAATTTTACATGCTGTTGTGCAAATGGGATAGACAACAGGTGGAAATTATAGGCAATTAGCAAGACACCCCCAATAAAGGAGTGGTTCTGCAGGTGGTGACCACAGACCACTTCTCAGTTCCTATGCTTCCTGGCTGATGTTTTGGTCACTTTTGAATGCTGGCTGTGCTTTCACTCTAGTGGTAGCATGAGACCAAGTCTACAACCCACACAGGTGGCTCAGGTAGTGCAGCTCATCCAGGATGGCACATCAATGCGAGCTGTGGCAAGAAGGTTTGCTGTGTCTGTCAGCGTAGTGTCCAGAGAATGGAGGCACTACCAGGAGATAGGCCACAACATCAGGAGATGTGGAGGAGGCCATAGGAGGGCAACAACCCAGCAGCAGGACCGCTACCTCCGCCAGATCCCTGCAAAATGACATCCAGCAGGCCACAAATGTGCATGTGTGTGCTCAAACGGTCAGAAACAGACTCCATGATGGTGGAATGAGGGCCTGATGTCCACAGGTGGGGGTTGTGCTTACAGCCCAACACCGTGCAGGATGTTTGACATTTGCCAGAGAACACCAAGATTGGCAAATTCGCCACTGGCGCCCTGTGCTCTTCACAGATGAAAGCAGGTTCACACAGAGCACATGTGACAGACGTGACAGAGTCTGGAGATGCCGTGGAAAACGTTCTGCTGCCTGCAATATCTTCCAGCATGACCAGTTTGGCAGTGGGTCAATAATGGTGTGGGTGGCATTTCTTTGGGGGGCCGTACAGCCCTCCATGTGCTCGCCAGAGGTAGCCTGACTGCCATTAGGTACCGAGATGAGATCCTCAGACCCCTTGTGAGACCATATGCTGGTGCGGTTGGCCCTGGGTTCCTCCTAATGCAAGACAATGCTAGACCTCATGTGGCTGGAGTGTGTCAGCAGTTCCTGCAAGACGAAGGCATTGATGCTATGGGCTGGCCCTCCCATTCCCGAGACCTGAATCCAATTGAGCACATCTGGGACATCATGTCTCGCTCCATCCACCAATGTCACATTGCACCGCAGACTGTCCAGGAGTTGGCAGATGCGTTAGTCCAAGTCTGGGAGGAGATGCCTCAGGAGACCATCCGCCACCTCATCAGGAGCATGCACAGGTGTTGTAGGGAGGTCATACAGGCACGTGGAGGTCACACACACTACTGAGCCTCATTTTGACTTGTTTTAAGGACATTACATCAAAGTTGGATCAGCCTGTAGTGTGTTTTTCCACTTTAATTTTAAATGTGACTCCAAATCCAGACCTCCATGGGTTGAAAAATTTGATTTCCATTTTTTTATTTTTGTGTGATTTTGTTGTCAGCACATTCAACTATGTAAAGAACAAAGTATTTCAGAAGAATATTTAATTCATTCAGATCTAGGATGTGTTATTTTTGTGTTCCTTTTATTTTTTTGAGCAGTATATATATATTGTGACGAGACCAATCTCGCCACATTGCATTGGAGAAGCCTGGTTGCTCGCCTGCTGCCTTTGGACTATGGCCCCCTTTTAAAAGACTTTATTTTGCCTGCAGAAAAGCTGTATTCGTGCTTTTCTGCCTGGGGTTCAGTAGATTTGTTTGAATGTGTTATACCCCAGATAGGAATCCCATGGAGCCCATTCGTATGAAACTGACTGTAAAGACTTTGGCTCCATGGCGATTAAACTGTATTCGTGTGGTCTGAGCGCCATTCACTTAATAATGTGCGCTCAGACCTGAGCTATCTGGGGATATGTGAAATGTCTGTGTTTTATGTATAAATGTGACTTTATGTATTTTAAAGTGTTTTGTGTCTTTTTGCAACCATGTGCTTAATGGAGTCTTGTGTCTGTCCTGGGAGATAATTGAATTACTTATCTCCAGGATAGAAGACTCTGAAACTGGTTTGGGCCAGAAAGCCATGCTTCATTTAGTCACAAAGGACTTTTTACTAACTTTTGAACCCCTTGTCTGATTTGTGCCATTTTTGAATATGTTGTTCCCCTGAATGGATTGATTGAGAATATGTAATTTTATGTGAATGTGATGTATGGTTTTGGAGTTATGAAAGTTGGGTAGAAAGTATGTTTTAACTGTTTGTATAATTGAGTTTCCTCTCAGGATAAGGGGAGGGAATATGTGGGATGTAACTGTGATATGATTGGTTGTTTTATCCCTCCCTGTGGGTGGTCCTGTATTTGAAACACTGTAATAAAAACCAGGCTGGGTGTGCCAGCACCTCAGACCACTGCTTGACCCTCAACACGGAGCCTTGTCTCGTTCTTGGGGGGATTCACTGTATGCTGTTAGAGACTGATTGCCAGGAGTGTAAGCCGTTGTCTGCTTTTCCTGTTCGTCTGCTAGCAGCTATTTGGGAGGTTCCAGTTCGGGAGTTGGAGTGCTATTTTGTATCCAGTTCGTGAGTTTTGGTGTTCTGCAGTAGCTGTGCCTGGATCTCTGGAAAGGGGGCCGATCGCCTAAACGGTTTTTACCCCTTGTGTGCAAAGCGGTCCGTTACAATTGGTGGCAAGCGGCGGGATCGTTCCTACAGCCAGAAGGACAGCTACAGGAGACACCATTTCTTTGGATTTTACAATTTGAGGGCAACGCATGTCCCAGTACAGCGACCCTGACAGCACCAGCATGGAACCAGCAGTGGAGTATGACGAGGGTGCCATGGATGACCGAGATGCAGTCCGTAAAGGCATCTGGTACCAGGCACTGGGTATTGTGGAGTACCAGCGGGGCAAGAGACTCCCCAAGGAAGACCAGCGGTTGCAGAAGCGAGTAGCCCTGCGGATGCCCTTCCTGGGAGAACAGCCCCTGGATGAATGGGTGAAGGAATTGGAGCACCGGGTATGGCAGGAGATTTGGCTGGAAGATGCCTACCAGGCGCTCTGGTGGTATGGGGCACAGTACCTACCCTGGACAGCCGAGCATGACAAGCCAGAGGGAGAGGAGTTTGATGGTCCTGGCTTGTTATGGGAGTCATTTTCAGAGCTCGAATTTGGGAGCCCTACACAAGCCCGGTTCAGTGATCTCTTGGAGTGGAGGGAGAGCAGGTATGACTGGGACGACACTCACGAAATTGAGCAAGACCTGGTCCACCTGGTAACCCGGGAGATGGAGCTAGAACAGGGCTACCAGCAGCTGTTCCAATACAGTGAGAAGGCGCAGCGGGAGAGCAGCATGACAGACCCAGAGCCAGACCCATTCAGAGGGGACGAGATGGTACAGTTTTACTGGGAAGAACCCCAGGTGGCCGGTAGAGATGGGACCGAGGTCTCTCCACCGGTCCTGCAGGGAATTGGGAGCCCAGTCTCCATTCCCCAGCGGCCGCGTGATTTATTGGGAATTGGGAGCCCAGTCTCCATTCCCCAGCGGCAGTGTAAAGTGCAGGGAGAGGAGAGCAGTATCCTCCCTCCCCAGCGGCAGGCTGAGTTACAGGGGGCAGAGGTAGTTGTTCCTGCTCCCCAGCAGCAGAGTGATATGCCGGGAAGGCAGCGTAAAGTGCAGGGAGAGGAGAGCAGCGTCCTCCCTCCCCAGCGGCAGGCTGAGTTACAGGGGGCAGAGGTAGTTGTTCCTGCCCCCCAGCAGCAGAGTGATATGCCGGGAAGGCAGTGTGAAGTGCAGGGAGAGGAGAGCAGTGTCCTCCCTCCCCAGCGGCAGGCTGAGTTACAGGGGGCAGAGGTAGTTGTTCCTGCCCCCCAGCAGCCAAGTGATATGCCGGGAAGGCAGTGTGAAGTCCAGGGAGAGGAGAGCAGTGTCCTCCCTCCCCAGCGGCAGCGTGATTTTTTGGGAATTGGGAGCCCAGTCTCCATTCCCCAGCGGCAGTATGATGCTTTGGGAATTGGGAGCCCAGTCTCCATTCCCCAGCGGCAGCACAGATCATTGGGAATTGGGAGCCCCGTCTCCATTCCCCAGCGGCAGGACTCTGTATTGGGAGCAGAGACAGTCGGTCTCCCTCCCCCGCAGCTGAAAGTATGTATGGGAGAGGAGCTTGTTACCCCCTCTCCCCAGCGGCAGCTTAATGTACCAGGGGGAGACAGTAAGCCCCACAACCGTGCAGATGGGACCGTAGTCTCTACACTGCCAGCACAGGGGGTAGGGACGGTCGGTCCTGCCCCCCAGCGACAGGGCTGTTTAGCCAAAGGGGAGACAGTCGGTCTCCCCCTCCAGCAGCAGAGATGGGTAACCAAAGGGGAGACGGTCGGTCTCCAGCAGCAGGACTGTGCATCTAAAGGGGAGACAGTCAGTCTCCAGCAGCAGCAGCAGAGCGGTGTATTTAAAGGGGAGACAGTCGGTCTCCCCCTCCAACAACCAGGCTTCCACCAGGCTACCCTCCCAGTAGCGCTGGCAACAGGGCAGAGTGCCGCTGGTCTCTGCCCACGCAGCAACCCACCAAGTCAGCGTACCCGTACCCAGCACAGCCGTGGTGAGGCACCTGGACATGGACAAGCTTCTCCTTTACCCAGGTGTAGTAACCATTTATTGTGGGTGGGCTGTGCTGTTGATTATTTGTTGTGGGTGGGCTGCTGGACTAACAAGGGCACTGACCGGCAGGAGGTCAGATACCCTGTTAGTCTGTTTGGAAAAGGGGAGAGATGTGACGAGACCAATCTCGCCACATTGCATTGGAGAAGCCTGGTTGCTCGCCTGCTGCCTTTGGACTATGGCCCCCTTTTAAAAGACTTTATTTTTGCCTGCAGAAAAGCTGTATTCGTGCTTTTCTGCCTGGGGTTCAGTAGATTTGTTTGAATGTGTTATACCCCAGATAGGAATCCCATGGAGCCCATTTGTATGAAACTGACTGTAAAGACTTTGGCTCCATGGCGATTAAACTGTATTCGTGTGGTCTGAGCGCCATTCACTTAATAATGTGCGCTCAGACCTGAGCTATCTGGGGATATGTGAAATGTCTGTGTTTTATGTATAAATGTGACTTTATGTATTTTAAAGTGTTTTGTGTCTTTTTGCAACCATGTGCTTAATGGAGTCTTGTGTCTGTCCTGGGAGATAATTGAATTACTTATCTCCAGGATAGAAGACTCTGAAACTGGTTTGGGCCAGAAAGCCATGCTTCATTTAGTCACAAAGGACTTTTTACTAACTTTTGAACCCCTTGTCTGATTTGTGCCATTTTTGAATATGTTGTTCCCCTGAATGGATTGATTGAGAATATGTAATTTTATGTGAATGTGATGTATGGTTTTGGAGTTATGAAAGTTGGGTAGA